GAATACTAGGTCTATAACCAGCCACATTCTCAGATTTATTCCTAAAAACACAATGTTGGAAAAAGAAAGTCAAATCAGCTGCGAATAAAATAAATGCCACACTATCTTAGTCTGCATAGTTTCGAATCGGGGAGAAACGAGCCAATTATGGCAGCTTCCAAAGTACTCGTATTCAGTTATAAAATTTCTTAAATCATCTATAAGAGAAGAGAAAACCAAGTTGCAATAATACTAGAAGCAAACCTCTCTTTTCAGGCGCTCTTCAATAAACCACATTTGTACATAAACCTGCCAGCGGCCGGCACCAACATAAAAGTATTGACAGTGTGTGAAGAGGGCTGGATATGCTGGCAACTTGTCAGGTGCAGCTACATGCACCAGCTGTGGCTGGTGTAGACTTCCTGACCCATCTATTAGACAGGTCTCATTGTCTTCGTCATCCTCGTCTCGATCATCATCATCATCCTCATCCTCCTCATCGTCCTCATCTTCTTCTTCCTCTTCTTCCCGCTCGTCGGCATCCTCAATCAGACATTCCATAGCGTCGACAAATTCTTCACGATCTGAGCTAGCACTCTGGCTGCCGGCCTGCTCACTGGACAAGATACCTGAACGAGTTTGAGTTCTTGGACTCAAATCTTCAGCAATCTTAGAATTTGGTTCAATGGTATTTAAAGACAAGCGATTTCTTAGCTGGGCTCCAGTTTGAACGGCTTGAGGTCCAGCCAGCGAGTTCCGAGTGGCCACCATAGAGCCTGAGGTAAGAGTTGTTTCAGTCTCGGGAAGCTCAGCAATGGGAAAAGTGCCAGCCGGCGGCCCAGCAAGACCACTCCACAATGGAAGGGCTATCGAAGATGAAGAGCATGATGGACCAGCGAAATCGCTTGGCTCAGCCGGAGTGGCCAGAGAGAGGCAGGCACGACAAGACTGATGGCTGCGCTGTGATGAAGGACAGGTGGACTCGAGACGGCAAGAGGAACAAACTCCGTTGTAGCTGCCAGTGTCGGAACACTGAAAGTTAATAGTTTGGATAAAAGCACTACCACTTTTCACGATCCAAAGGCAGTAAGTCTGCAAAGTTACTTTAAGATTT